GTTAAACTGACCAAACCTGTACAGAGATTTGTTACTGAAAATAACAGACAAAATAAAAAGTTTTTTCTTAAGAAACGTTTGATAAGTATCTGGACATTGTTGCATGTGAAATTTGAAACTTATCTGATGCACAAAACTATTTTTAATATTAAAATTAGAATTACTTTGCATATTGGATAGGCAACAATGCAAAAAGAAAAAAAAAGGCATGAGAAAAACATTGCTTTACAAACCTTAAGTCTTAATAAAAAAATTTGATTACTCTCTGTTTAGAATGAACCTGTTAGTGGTATGGAAATTCAGGTACCAACAGCATGTACCCAGCAATATGAAAAATCAGGCAACAAGCCTCAAGAAGATACTGCATCACCTTACAACAATTTAGAACATGCTTATTCTTCTGCATCTAAAGGATCCACAAGTGAGACATTTATTTTTGGTCTGGTTGTTACTAGGTGTTTTTTATAATAGAATGTGTCTTAGGAACTAATCAACTCTAAGGTAAACAAACTGCAGCTGAGTCATTAAGGCTGTCATTCTTAAATGCTTTTGTCAAATGCGAGATTTTAGCAAACAGTATTTTAACACTATTTTGACATGTGAGCATCTTTCAGGTGTTGAGTGCACACTTACATATCAAATTTCAAAACTAAGCTAACTATATTAATTCTAATTTCATTTTAACAGTTTCTAACTTAGAAATGTTTTACAATTGATACATTTTCATTTTGTAGCATTTATTTTTAATGGCGGAGTTTGTAAAGAAAAATGACAAAAAATAATGTTTCAAATTTAAATTTTGTGCATCATTGAAGTACCTCACCTGTAAACAATGCTTTTATAGGTTATTTTATAAATTTTCTGCCCCTCTCGAGGCATAGATTGTTGTTTTCTAAGAAACTATCATAGGTTTGAGAATATATCAATTGATGTCTTGTTCTTACATGATTTTCATGCTGTGTTAGTGGTTTTATTACTAAAGTCTTTCCTTGCCACCATTTATTATGATGTCACAGCATTTTGTCTGAACAATTACAAATAAATCTCAGATTTTAAAGTAGCCTTAGCCAACATTTACTTATGTCAGTGTAGAGTAAATAAAGAGGTTTCAGCAATAATTTCTGGTTAATCACAATACTGACTAGCTTGAGTTGTAAGGACCAACAAGGGAATTTAATGGAAAGTTTAGAAGATTTTAGGAACAAACCAAATATTTGGGAATTAGTTTCTTTTGAACCATTATTTCCTTCTTGGAAGTGTTTCTGTATTAAGTTATATCTATCTGTAAGCTTCATAAATTTTCTTCTGTGATAAGTTAGGTTTAGCAAGTACAGTAGGAAAATGGTAGAATAATTGTAATTAGTATTTTTGAATGTTATAGCTAAGCTTATCATATGAATACGCATACAAACGAAATAATTTATTATTTATTGAAATGAAACTATACTTATTATACATTGATTATGACAAAGAATATTGTTAGGAAAAACCAAAATATGAATTTCCTGACAAAGATGATGATGATACTAATTTAACAGGTGAGGTCCTTGGTCACCAATTATTCTTTGTCAGTATTTGCTATTTTTATGATTTATAGCTGGAAGTGATGACTACTTCAATCAGCAATATAAAAATTAATATATGAATATAAATAAATATTAATCAAGCTGGAACTGACTGTGACCGAGTGGCTAGTATGCTGTCCTGTGGTTTGCACCCTGTTACATACACTGCACTTTCTAGTCATGGGTTCATTGTAACAGTGATAGACAAGTTGCATTATTCAGTCTAACAAGAGTTGGTGTTAACTAGCTGTTTTCCATCTAGCATATCACCTCAAAAATTAGAACAATATAGTAAAGGTAGTTCTTGAAGTAGCTTTTGTGCAAAATTCATCAAACAAGCAAAAGTAACTGGATATGTAAAATGAAACTATCTGATCAAAATGGATAAGAGTCTAGGATGAAAGAAAGTGTTGTCTCAACAAAAACTTTTGGAAATTTTACAATCTATTAAAAATCATAAAAAACACTAAATCAAAGGGTACAATTTTTTTAAAAACTTAAACTACATACTATTTAGTAAGAATGTACTAAGCTTCATTTAATTTGGTTAAATATTTCTTCTGTGAGGAGGAAAGAATCGAGGAATTTTAATGATCCCCCACCCCTCCAGTCCAAAAATGGTTAATAATTATGAGTAGCAAGAAGATGATTGACTCAGGGTTAAATATTTTTGTCGTATTAATAACAAACATGCTTTTATCACTAATTTGTAGTAGGTTTAGTAAAGCATGGTTGTTGTTGTTTGTTTGTTATTAAGCACAAAGCTACACAAAGGGCTATCTGTGCTGTGCCCACCACAAGTGTCAAAACCCGGTTTCTAGCAGTATAAGTCTGCAGACATACCACTGTGCCACTGGGGGCATGAAAGCAAGGAGTTCATTATCATACTTACTGGTTACGTAGTATAGTCTATGTCATTTGGATTGTTTCGTGTCACAAGCTAGTTATCATTTGGATTTTTTTATATATTACAAAAACATTTGTATATATTTCATGGATTGAAAATATGAATTTTGCTTTTGACCTGTAATGACTTGAATCTATTTTTCATTGAAAATTGTATTTTCCTGAAGTTAGTTGTTTGAGTGCTCATTGAAATTATTTGATCGGGTTTTATATTTGTAGAAAAAAGTTTGACTTTATACACCCTTTTTGAAATTTGTATTCTGTGAAACTACAGTTCAAGTATGTAGTTCTTGATATAATTTAGCAATTAAGAAGAGTTAAAGTTTAAAAAGGTTTATTTAATTTTTCAATTTCTTAATTATTTTCAATTTTACATAATTTTTTTCTCTAAAAAATAATCAAACAGAAAAAAAGAATACTTAAACTCCAAAACAGTTGCCAGTATGTTGATGTGGTTTCAAGTTATGTTACAGAATAATTAAGTGTATGTTTTCTTTTTGTAGTCAGTTTCCATAGAATGTGTCAGAACCTACCTAAACTTTAGGAAAATTAGTCTTATGTTTTACACATTAGAAACATTATATGGAGATCACCAAACCAAGTAGTAAGCTGTACAGTATACAAATATACCATTAAAGTTAGTAGCTATTTATATGTACCTTGTAGAAAAAAAAATATCTGGCAAATGTGAGACTACGAGCACAAAAGTCACACATAATATGTATTGTGTCATCTAGCCCACAGGTGTTTTCTACTAGCTTTTAAACATAGTAGTATTTTCCCCTGTATTAAAGAGTGATAATCTAACACAGATAGTTGTTGTGTAGGTGAAATGAACATTACATACCTCTATTGTGTTGCCTCAAGCATTGGGGAGCACAATATAAATGTCTCCTTGAGGGATTGGAGGTTTAAAGCATTGATTCATGCCACCATGTGCCACATTCTCTTAAAGGGCCTGCAGTGGTTGCTTACTCAGGTGGAGCTATACTTCCATACTAAATTTTCAGAAAAACATATTGAAGTAACTAGTTTAGTAGTACACTATAATGAAGTGATAACTCATGCGTGCAATACATTTTCAGTATATATGCTCACATCTACTATCCTAATCTGATTGAATATCAGAAGCCAGATACCTGAATCCAACCAAAATGATTAGTTGTCCCCAAATATTCAGTTAGTTTAAATTTTCAGCTAGTACAAAATGTAAATTGTTTGTGAATAATATTATGATAAGCAGTTTAGGTTTTTATGGAACATTTCAGTTATTTATGGAAAAGTAAATCATTAGAACCAGTAACTCAAAATAATTTAAGTGCTACACATTATCTATTCTCAATATACAGTTTAAAAATTGGATTTTATTCCAGCCAAAATCTGGTTCTGTTGTTAGAAGTACTAGTCTGAAAAAAAAATGTTTCTGATATTTCAGAATGGGTTAGAGTTAGACAGTTCTAGCTCAATGAATTATTGAACCTAAGAGAAATTGGTAAAAAGCTGAATTTAATGATTGATCAAAACTGAGAAATTAGATTTAAAATTAATATATATTGCTAATTCTGTTACTGCAATAGATTCAGGAATATAACTGATTATTAGTTTTTATCAAACAATTTATTAACAACAAAGTTTTTCAGATATTATGAAAAAAAAGTGACATAAAAAAAAGTGAAATTTGTTTCTATAAGGTTCGACACCTCGTAAACATGCCCGAAAGTCCCCATTAGTGCCACGTCAACTAGAAGTTCCTGTTTTAGAACTGTCTGAGGGAGCAAAATTGCAAATGGAACAGTTGATGATGGAGGGAGACTTGCTAGAGGTATCTCTAGATGAAACACAGCACATTTGGAGAATACTTCAAGCCACCAAACCAGCTCGTGATCCTATGACTCTTGGCTTCTTCCCAGATGATGAGGTAGTCATGTGTATATGTTTATTGTTTAAAACCAAAAACATAGATTTTAATTTTGATATAAATAAAAAAAATAATATTTTCATTATTTGTGTGTGTGTGTGTGTGTGTGTGTGTGTGTGTGTGTGGGAGATTAGTAGTAATTAACATTAGCACTACATGTATCTGATAAGTTTTGAATGTTAAATTGAATTAAACCATTTCATTGTGAAAGCACATTTGAAACAA